GTCCTGGCACTACTGGGCAAGGAGCTGAATGTTCTCTGATTTAGGGTAACCTTGAGTATTTCCTGGGACTCCTACTGTGATAGATGGCTATGGGGGTAAGGCAATTAGAGTGAAGAAAGCCCAAATACCACTGGAGCTAGGGTGTTTAACTCCAAAGGAGTATACAACAGTGCCTGATAATTCCATTTGTATCTTTTCCTGACCATCACTTTATTTTATTTGCCAGTTAATTGTAGCTCATTGAATTTTAGTTGGTGTTTCTCTAATGACAGATTAATAACATTGAGCATATTTTTATGTGCTTATTTATCATCTTCTTTAGTCAGTATAAATTCAAATTTAGATCTTCTTTAGTCAAGTATATATTCAAATATTTGGCTTATTTTTTAATTGGATTGTTTTTCTCATTGAGCTTTCAGAGTTCTTAATATATTCTAGGTAGTGATAAAATCAGCTACAGAAAAAATACAGCTAGCATCCTACTTAATGGTGAGAGTGAATGCTTTCTTCCAGAGATTAAGAATGAGACAAGGGTGTCTGCTCTCATCAGTCCAGTTTAACATCTTACTGGAGAGCCTATCAGGGCATAGAGAAATAAAAGGCATATAGATTGGAAGGAAATAAGTGTCTCCAGAAGGGATGTCAGCTCACCACCGGCCACCCAAACATGGATTTGAACAACCACCTGCACATGAAAATATCTTCTCAAGACCCAAGGACTCCAGGTGCTCCCCTGATGCTGCCTGACCTAGGGGCCCCAGGCAACTCCCACAGCAGAGCATCCAGTGGGGTCCTGGGAACCCAGGCCCTCAGTACCCTCCCCCAAGCCTGGGCCGCCTAGAGCAGAGACATATAAAAAAGGAGAGAAATGAGTGCCTGCCTTCACTACAGACCCCACAGCTGCCTGCCTAGCACCAAGCTGACTCTTTAAGCTCCAGGTGGCTCCCACACAAGTTTCTCTGTGTTTGTGAGTCTATTTTTTGTGTTCTGTGTGTACGAGTCTGTGGATAAAATTGCAATCTTTTGAGAATCTCTCGCCTCGCTTTAGTGCATCTCCATATCAATAGGTGTTTCCAAGGGGTGGAGAGAAGTCCATATCCATATCAATAGGTAATTACAAGGGTGAGGGAGGGCATATCTGGACTGGAGAAGTTGGGTGGGGTCCCTTTATCTGAAGCCAGGTTGTGAGAGACACGGGAGAGCAGAAGTGGATGAATGCTTGTAAGAAATAAATGGGTTTCTCCCACTTTCTCCCTTTGACTGATTTCAGTTTCAAAGGTATTTTGCTCCGAATCTTCCCCTATAGATACATCTGGTGATAGTCAGCAGGACCTCTCCCCAAAATCTGTCTACATGGGTGTGACCCTTGGGCAGGCTGCTCCTAGAGATTGTGGGGAGAGCCCTGGAACCCCCCCCCAACCCATCGATGGTGAGGAGGCCCCAGTGGCTGCAGTAGAGGGTGCAGCTTGACCCAGAAATCCCCTATCTGTGAGGCTTCCAACTGGGGAGCCCCTAGGGGGAACTGGTCTACAGTAAAGCACCTCCTAGAGCAGTGGTGCCTTCCCCAGAATTGGGGAAGGGTGGAGACACCGGAAGCTGTGGAATTAGCCCTCCATTAGATACAAGACTGCTTAGAGGCCCTGAGTGGCCATGTAGCAGCTGGGATTGTAGGATGTCTTTTCCTCGAGATAGTGGAAGGGGTTATCGAGGAGAGAGAGAGAGTTTGGCAGAAGAGAGACCCACTTTAGCATCACACTCCTGAAAGATATGTTAGCAGCAAGGGAGGAAGAAGCAGGAGAATCCGCGTTGTAGGAGGCCATGTGGGACCGGTAGGAATGACCAGTCCCTTCAGCCCTGGATGTGGTAGAGATGTTGGGAGAGGATTAAGGGGTGGGGCTAAGGGCTGATCTGTTGCAGAGGCCACCACCCAAGGCACACGCCTATCCTGATTTAAAGGGCCACCCAATATTAATTAAACTGAAAACGCACCAACCTGGGAAGGAGCCATTTCCTCCCCAGGTTGTGGAGCACTCCATGCTCTCCCCCTATACCCAGGATGAGCTGGCTGGTGGGCATGAGCATCCGGTTTTAGCAGAAGCCATCGGGAACCTCTGCTTACATGGCTTTTTCGGCTCTGGGATACAGAGGTAGAAAACATTATTATGTTGAGTTCTGAAATGGGTAGACTGGCTTCCCTGATGACCCACTCTACCCTCTGGCAGTGGTTGCAAAGTGCCATCATGCCTCAGGGAATCGGGCGCTTCTGGATTGGCTGACAGCAGCCATCAGGTGTTTCTTTGGGTCCCTAGTGACTATTCTTGCCCCCACATAGGGCAACCCATAAGTGAGGCTACTTGAACTTTAGATCAGGGGGAGGTTGAAACAATAAGAGCACAGAAGGAAGTCTGGGCTACAACCAAAAGGAGAGGTGCAAAGGCCCAGTGAAGGTCTCAAGGACTTATTGTGGGTTGATTTGATAAAATCCGGGGTAGTGAAAGAAAAACTTGATGGGCAGCCCAACAGGATCTTGTTAGAACTGTGGCACCAATTAAAGCCAGAGCAACAGTTTCAGCCGCAGAGGAACAGGACACAGAAGCCAGAAGCAAAGCCCCAAGTCCAGCTTGTGTCCCTGCAAGACTTCCTGAAGGAGAGCACTCAGGCTCTGCCAGAGCCCTCACCCCTATAGGAGGACGATTGAGCATCATGGTTTGATTGGGCATCACATCCCCACCTTGATGGATATAGTGGGGACTGGAGGCCCCATGCAGAATTAGCAATTCATTGGTTCCCCTTGAATGTCCAGTGTGTCCTGGCACTACTGGGCAAGGAGCTGAATGTTCTCTGATTTAGGGTAACCTTGAGTATTTCCTGGGACTCCTACTGTGATAGATGGCTATGGGGGTAAGGCAATTAGAGTGAAGAAAGCCCAAATACCACTGGAGCTAGGGTGTTTAACTCCAAAGGAGTATACTATGTATAATTCTCCCATCCCTGAATATATTTTGGGAGCCAATATCCTGCAGGGCCTGGGGTTACAGACCACTGCAGGTGAGTTCAGACTGAGGGTATGGGTGGTAAAGGCAGTTCTGAGAGGACATGCTAAGCATGTGCCTGTAGCCTTGCCTGTGCCTTGGTGGGCAACAAATACTAAGCAGTATAAATTGCTAGGGAGACACCAGGAAATTGGAGAAACTTCACAGGAGTTGGAGAAGGTGGGCATCGTAAAGACCACTGACAGTCCTTTTAATCCCCCAGTGTGGCAGTGAAAAAGCTGGACATCTCCTGGTGTTGATTGTGGATTACAGGGAATTGAATAAAGCCCCATCCCCTTTGCGTGCTGCTGTCCCCTCTATAGCAGCCCTTATGGACACCCTCAGTCAGGAACCAGGGATGTATCATTATGTTGTGAACCTTGCTAATGCTTTCTTCTCTATTGACATAGCACAGAAAAGTCAGGAACAGTTTGCCTTGGGAAGGCCAGCAGTGGACATTCACTGTCCTTCCACAGGGATACCACCACAGTCCCACCATTTGTCATGGACTTGTAGCCCAGGACTTGGCCACAGAGAAGAAACTGCAAATGGTGCAGCTATATCACTACATTGATGATATTATGCTCACATTTGATTCTCTTCTAGATTTAGAAGGGGCAGTTCTTAGACTGATGCAACACCTATGGGAGAAAGGATGTGCTGTTAACAGCACCAAGGCTCAGGGACCTGGTTTGTCAGTAAAGTTTTTGGGGGTTTTCTGGTCAGGTAAAACTAGTTTTCTGCAGTAGCCCAAAAGACTCAAAAACTCTTGTAATACTGCCACAGTCATAGGGGTTAGGAAAGCCTGGACTTTTTCTATGACTGCTTCTCAGAGTGTTTATCCCACACTTGGTGCATATTCTGAGGCCATTATACAGGTTGGAACAAAAGGGCATCAGGAGGGACTGGGATGAGACATGTGCAGCTGCTTTTTCCCAGAGGGAAACCCGCCTCTGTGCGCCACTGGGCTAGGGCTGCCTTCTGGCATGGGCCACCGCCTGGCCTGTGAATTTTCACTGTCTTCCTCTCAATCCTGTGAACTGTCCACATGGAGAACAGAGGAGAGGGGATGCCTGGTTACTACATCTCCCAGACTCACCAGTGGGGAGGTCACATGGAAACAACTTGGTGGTCTGGGCCCCCCAAACAGTTAAGTTTCGGGAATCAGAAGAGTCCTTGGGGTGGATGGGAGGGAGAAGCATTTTAGACGAGCACAGTGCCCTGAGCAGCACACAGATGGCATAGGCCCCAGGTCTGCCACTTGCCCACTCCTCACTTGGGGTGTAATTTACTCTCGTGGTGTCTTGCTTTTTGCATCTTTGTGATGGGACAGTAACAACACTGGTTCATAGGGTTGTGAGGGGTCAGTGAGATGTGGAAAAGTATTTAGCACACAGTCAATACATAATTGCTACTGTTTCATGGAGGGGTGGGGCACAGAAAAGGGAAGGAGCCAGTATTCTAGAAGCTTTCTCTACTTGCTTGTATTTTTATGAGCAGTGAGGGAAACACCCCAATGACAAAGAACTAAGTAATAAGAGGGGTCAGGAAGGAAAAGCAACTGGGCCCCATCTCTGGAGGAAGCTCTTCTTTCTACACTTGGCTTGGGATGGGGCATTCCACCCACAGTGTCCTCAGGCCTGCTGTGCACTGTTAAGAGCTCCAGTTCCTGGGCCGCAGTGTGGGGACACAAGAACAGAGAGGATGGCTGAAGGCAGAATGAAGAGTAGGGACATGGAAGTTGAGGAAAGAGGGGGGGCATCCAAACCAAAGCTGATAGATGGAAAGAAAACATGATGAGAATCCATGAGGATAACTCAGAACAGGGAGAAGCAGTTCCCTGCCAGGCCATCCATATCCCAATGGGAACTGCAGGCCTGGAGGAGGCTGGAAGCGTGTTTTCTCTGAGGCTGCTCCTGGGAAGGAGGGGCCAAGCGCATCCCCAGAGTCCCTTCTGTCTCTCCCTAGATGGTCCATGCCTGTGAGACCCTCCCAACCTTCCAAACACGGGCTCAACATGAGTTCCTCCTTCCCAGTGTGCCCCAAGAATTGCCTGGCTTCACCCAGCAAGCCTACCACCAGCTGGCCCTGAAATGAAGTCCAAGGTACATCACCAGCTCATCTCCCCATCGAAGGATGCCACCCAGCACACCTGGAGCTTTCACACGTGGCTTGATGTGGGGCGTTTGCCAGCCACGTTTCCCAGCAGGCCCGACAGGCCGTTCGACAGCAATGTCTGGTGCTGGCTAACGGACTCCAGGGCTCACTGCCACCCCCCAGGCTGGCTGCCCGTACCCCCTCCCTTCTGGATGGGTCAGGACAGCTTTCTGACCTACACCTGCTGTACACCCATCTTCTCAGACGTGAACAGGAGGAACCAGGTGATTGTCAGGACTGCAAAGGAGCTGAGAGAGGCGGAAGAGCTCAAGCTGAGGAGTGAAATGCGGGTACCCTCCCCACCCCCGCTAGACACCAGGGGAGACATCCTGCCTCCAAAGAACTTCAAGGAGTAAGAGGAACTCTCCCCTCAGGCGCTCACCCAGCGCCCCCTGCCAGGTGACCCCTCCCTCCCTCTGTCCTGCTTCTCTTTCTGGCTTGGTACTCTAACTGCCCCGCCTCGGGCCATCTGAAAACTCAGCTCTGCTCTGAATACAACTGTGGGGAAGGGCTGGAGGAGGGGAAGCACAGCCAGGGAAGGGGCTTGATCAGTGAATTCAGGCTTTTAGGGGACACACCAGTGTACTTAACACCTGCCAGGCCTGGGGATTCAGAGCAACGTCATTCAGTCCTTCCCCCGGAGGATCTTACCAAAACATCCATGTGTGAAGGACAGCCCTGGTGTGAGCCCACGTGTGCTCATGACCCAAGCGTGGAGCAGACCGTGAGTGCTGGGAGGGCGTCAGGTATTAGTGGGAAGAGCTGAGCATTCAGAGAGTCAGAGGCTTGGATTCATATCCAGTCTGTGCCCAATTTTGGCAAATTGCATAGTTTTTCCAAACTCAGATGGAGATGGTGTCTTGTCTATGGGTTTCAGCCCCAGGCAAGTTCACTATGGATTCAATGTGACCAAAGAATTGACAGTAGAACATTCTTGAGGCAAAAGGGTTTATTACCCAGCTTGTTCTCCCAGCCATAGGTGAGGCACTAGCATCTCTGCCTCCACCCAGAGCACTGGGCCGAGCTCTTTATATAGCGCAATAATAGCTTATTGCCCATGGGTGTGGAAGCGGTAGCCTAGCAACAGGCCAGTTACATCATCAAGTGGTTTAAGTTCAGTGAGGATCCTGGCCATAGGAACCCCAGCTTCCCCACAGATGGTTGGTACCATGCCTACCTCAGTGGCAGAAGAGAAAATGGGTTAATGAATATATGAAGGTACTATTCAAAAAACAGATGTTATTACAGATATTCAGAAGAGGGAGGGATGCTGTGGGCTGGAACATCCCCCAGGAAGGCTTCCTGAGGAAATCAGATTAAGGCTAAAGGGTAGGAAACGCCCAGCAAGGTAGAAAGGAGGGGCTGGAGGGTTGGCTGGTATGAGCAGACATCAGAATGGGGAAGAGGCTGCTTGAGGACCCACAGCCCTGCCCGCCCTATCCAGCGTGAGAACTCACAGGCGTCAGGCAGGAAAGAGGGCGAGGAATAAGGATGGAACATCTCACATTCCAAAGGGCATTAACAGAAGAATCGAGGGGTTGGAAGGGGAGGCTGTGGAGATTTTTAATCTTTAAAAAGAAACACCAACGGTTGGTGATTTTGAGAGATGATTGTTGAGGACCTCGGCTTCTCTTGGCTGTCCTCGCCTGAAGATCATCGATTGCTAATATGTCCTAACACTAGGCACGCCAAGGTGAATAAGACTTAGACCACAGCTCAAAACACCTCACAGTCAAATGATGGTGCCAGATGTTGCTCTAACCACTTTCGCCACATTATCTGGTCCTCCCACTATCCTCTCAATAGAAACTATTATCAATCCTATTTACAGACGGGGCATCCGAAGCCCAGAGAAGTCAGGTATCTTGCCAAGTTCACACAGCAAGTGACAGAGCTAGGATCTGAACCCAGGGAGCTCTGCTGCAGAGTTGCTCCACTTACCCTCTTGCTTGAATCAGATAAGTTCACAGCTACTTCTATTATAATATGATCTTTTCTAAAGGCAGTATAAGAAAAATACATGAGAAGAGCTTTAGCACAGTGTTGGGCATGCAGGAAATGTGTGTTGGCAGAAGAACCAGGGCCTCTAGAGGCAATCAGACCTGGGCTGGGATCTGCCTAGCTCCATCACATACTTGCTATGCAACCTCACTTTCTTAACTGCTTTGGGCCCCTCTTTCCTCGAGTGTCCTGGGCATGTGCCTGGAGAGTGTCTGGCATTTAGAAGGGCCTGATAAATCATGTCATTATTAGTATGGGGTCTCCACGAGGGGAGGATCCTCATCTCCCTCATTTGCCACTGGAAGCCCAGCCCCCGGAGCCAGGACTGAAGGAACGAATCTCAGGCAAGGTTTTGCTGTTCATGCAAGAGACAGTATTTGAGCTGGGTGTTGAAGGGTGTGTACAAGTTCACCAGGTGGGAACAGGATGCAGCAGGGAGAGGACAGGCCCATCCAGTCCTGTCGTTCCCTTTGAGCTGCTCTGTAGGGAGTGAAAATAAATTGTTAAAAATGACTCTAAAAATTAATTTTAAATTGTTAAAAAAAATCAATGGGAGAGAAGTTCTGAGCAGAAGACCTTCTTAGCAGGATGTCTGGACTCTACAGGATGCTCCTGATCTTGTTGGTCGAGGGTACGTTTATATATAAACCAAGGTGTTCTCAGCTCTGGTCATACATTAGAATCATCTGGGCCTCTTTAAAAAATGATGAGGTTTGAGCCCCACCCAGGGAGATTCTAACTTACTTGGTCTTAGGGGAGCGACCTGGGGTCTGGTATTTTTTAAAAGCTGCCCAAGTGATTCTAAAGGGCAGCCAGGCTTGAGAACTTCCTCTGATATAAACCAAAGAGTGAACAGGCTTATCTGCTAAACCAGGTTCAAAGCATGTTGGACCACAGGAAATTTGCCACTGTTCAACTATGTTTCCAAAAAAGTCAATCTCCCACTGTTGAACTTAACAGGACAGAGAGAGCAGGCTGTCAGACCAGGTGTTGGAGGACAGTGGTCAGAGCTGGAAGGGATCTTGGCTATCATCACATTCACCCGCGATGGGGAGCACTGAGTTCGCTCTTCTCCCTGTGGGTGCTGCAGCAGTAGAGGGGCAGGGCCTGGGAGGATAGTTTGAATATGAATAATGATTATGTACCTATCAAGAGAATGGAAAATTGGCCATCTAAACATCTTTCACCATCCTAAAGCCAACACACACACACAATGTGAAGGCTATTCAGCATACATCAATATCCAGTTAGGAAAAGAGATGCAAGGGATTTCCTGGCCACTCACAAGCTTGTGGAAGGCGCCACCCTGCTTTCCCTTCTCAGTCCTTCCACCATGCCTGGATCTGCCCTTTGACCTTTCTGCCCTCTCCACACCCCTTTCCTCCAACAGGTACCGACACATCTCAGCTGGTGAAAGGTTTGAACCACGTGGCCTCCAGCTCATGCCCAACCCACTTCCCAATGATCTTGCCAGGAGCTGGCCCTGCCCCAACCCTCTGCCTCATTACCAGGAGAAGGCCCTCAAGCTGGCCTTGCTGCCCAGCGTCCCCCTGAGCCAGGTCCTTGTCAGGAATTACCAAGCCCTGACAGAGGACCGGCTTGCCCTGCCCCTTTACCATCTCTCCAAGGCACAACCTGCTAAAACTTTAGCAAGGAAGAGAAAGAGGAGATCTGGAGTCATCTAGAAGAGCCCCTGGATAAGTGGGGACCTCATGGGCACAGCCCCCGGGATCCAGTGTTCTCAACCAAGGCAGGGAGAGGAGGCCTTTGGCAAGGAGCCTGTCTGGGGGCAGCCCAAGGGCTCTGACTTCGGTGTGACAGAGCCTCTCCACCACCCCCTCTGCCAGCCACCTCTGTACCCCCAGCTTCTGGGGACACGACTGAAACTCTAAACTGTCATCCATCTTCCTTGGAGGACTCCTTTGTAGCAGATGGGAGGACTGGTGGAGGGAGCAGGGCAAGCAGGGAGGATCCAGCTCCTATGGGCAGAACGAGGAATCACTGTAGGAAATGTGAATAATAAGTCACCTCCACTCCAGAACCCATTTGATACAAGATGGATGGGCCAGGGTACAGGGAGCTCCTTAGGCAACAGTAACTCAGTTACACCCCTCCCTGGATCGTCTGGTGTCTGGACAAAGACGGTAGGAGACTGCTGGGTTGCAGGTCACCCACAGGGTTTGGGGGAGCAGAGGTCGGGCCAGGGCTGGTGCTGGAGGATGGGAGAGGCAGGGCTGAGGAAGACTGACCAGGCCTCTGTGGAGGGACAAGAATGGAATGAAGCAGAGATGCGAGGTGGCCACAGTCCACTGTGCCGCAGGGGACTCCACAGCCCCAGCTTGCATGTGGGGGCTGGGAGGGTGTAGACAAGTGGCCTCAAGTGGATGCAGGCAGAGTGCATTGGTCAGGAAGGTGCTGACCCCTGCTGGGAGTGGGTGGGCCTGGTAGACAGGCAGCAGGGAGGCAGCTGGAGACGGAGGAGTTGCGGGAGGGAGGCCACCGCACCTCCCCTTGTCCATCACAGTCCAGCTAGAGATCTTCCCCAGCTGGGCTTCTAATGGCCTCTAGCCACTTCACTCTTTGCCCACTTTTCCCAAGCCCCGTGGGCACATGGGAATCAAAACACCGTCATGGGTCTAGTCTGGTTTAGCCACTAGCCAGCTATGTGACCTCTGGGGACGTCATTGCTCCCTTCAGGCTTTTAGTTTCCCCATCTGCACAGTGGGAAGCACTGAGTATAAATAAATAGAATGAATAAAATAAGTGAAGTGCCTGCAAAGTGTCTGAAACGTGGTAAGCCCTCCATAAATGAGGCAAGCAATCACTATGCACAGAATAAAGGAATGAAGTGCTGACACGCCACAATCTGGTGAAACCTGGAAAACATGCTGAGTGAATGAAGCCAGACACAAAAGGCCATATGTTGCATGATCCCATTCATATAAAATATCTAGAAGAGGAAAACCCACAGACCGAAGATAAATTGGTGGTTGCCAGGTGCTGGGGGTGGGGAGAACGGGGAGAGACTGTTTAATGGGTACGGGGTCTGGGGTGATGAAAATGTTCTGGATCCAGATGGAAGTGCTGGTTGCACAACACCGTGAATACACGAAATGCACTACATTGTGTACCTTAAAATGGTAAATCCCATGTTATGTGAATTTCATCTCAAAAATAATCAAAATAAATAACATGTGTATACAGAGTTCCACATTTCCTTCTAGTTCCACACCTAAACCCTATGCAGTCGTGCTCTGAGCCCCGCCTCCCTGTGGTATGTTGTGGAGGGTGGGGCTCGGATGGTGGGGCCAGAGCCCCGGAGGAGAAGGAGGATTTCCTGAGTCCAGGGCAGGGCAGGGCTCCTGGAAGGCACCCATCCTCCCCATTCAGTACGAGTAGGAATGATGCTGCCACGGAGGAGGTTCCACCACCCAGGATCCTAACATGTCAGAGCTGGGCAGCCCGCTAGGAAACAAGTCAAAACCCCTCAGTGTTTCCATGGTGACATGAGGCCCACGGAGGAGTGACTTATTCCAAGCCACAAAGCCAGGCAGTCCCTGCCCTCCCGGTCACGAGACAGGAGGCACCAGGCTTGGGGTTAGGACTCCACGGCCGTGCTGTCACCGTGCTGCTCAGGCTGCTCATACACGGTGCCTGGGCCTTGTCACCCCCACTGCGAGGGGCCTTGGGGAGAGTCAGAGGGTTCATATGAAGACTGGGGGTCCTTTGGAATTCTTCAGAGAAAACCACTTCCTCTCTGGCCTGGAGCTGGGGGAGAGCAGAAAGATAAGCTGCTCTGACACAGAATCCTGCCTTGGCTGACCCAGAACAGTCCAGAGAGTGCTGGCCTCCTGTCACAAGGACCTCCACCCACCCGCCGCCTTCTTGCTCTGTTCTCTGGACAGCAACCTCCTTGCAGCTGGCAGGGAGACAGAATTATCAGGGCCCTCTTGTCCGCCAGCCAGCCAGCCAGGGGTGCAGAAGTACGACCCCTGAAATTCCTGGATTCCACTGGGCCGTGGAGGTCTGGGGGCCAACAACGGTGTCTGTCCATCCTCCTGAGTCTGGGCACTCTTGCAGGGCAACCCCCCCTCAGCCTGCCCGTGATCATGAACAAACCCTGACCCCCGCCTGCCCACACACACTAACGAACATGGAGTTCTTGAAAGCCTTTGGTGGGTGGAGTAGGGGTTCCTGTAACCTGGGCCTGCCTTAAATAAAGGCCTACTCTCTCACCACAACTTCTGAGAGTTGATCTGAGAGGGAAGAAGGGATAGACACCCCCAAACCCAACACCCCTCCGCCCAAACACCCTGTGCTCTGCTGAGTACTGCCAGCTTTGTGGATGCACAGAGGCCATTAGAGCCTCTTCCAGGTCAGTGCTCCCCTTCTGCAACCTCCCTTTCCCTGAGCCCAGTGTCAGTCTCCTGAGCTGGGGGCTGAGTTCAGGTTCCTGCACTGCTGGGGCTGAGGAATGGTTGGGGGTCAGTGGTGCTAGAAGCTGTGGGGCTGGGCCCCTGGGGAGCTGCAGGGCCCGCCACATGACTGGTCATGATCCTCAGCATCCATTCACCTTCTGGCTGTCGCCAGTATCATCCCATCTAATCGCCATGCCTCCAAAAGCCCCCTCACTGCTCCCTGAGATGGCAAGTCAGAGCCAAGATCCTCTGTCCAGCCTGCCCCAAACTCAGTTCCCACCTCCCCCAGGACTCATCACTGACTCACCCCAAGCCCTCCATCTTCTTGCTTCTCTACCACCTCTGAGCCCCACTCCTAGTTGTACTGTCCCCTGAGCCACTCTTTCCATTACACAATATAAATACTTGCTCCTGCCTTTTTACTATTACAGTTAGTGGTTTCTACAGTTATTCGCGTAGTTGCCCATCTCACACCAGTCTCAAGCCAATCCTCTGTCGGCAGGCCCCCGGCAGAACTCACAGACTCCGGTGTGCTCGGAAGACGGTGCTGCCGCCCCTCGCCCTGGTTCAGATTCCCACGTGCGCCTCCCTCAGCCCGCTGCCATCCCCACAGGACGTTCACAGAGCACTGCCACGGTATCCCGATGTGGTTCCTTGATCATAGCCAGTGACTACTTGAGCAACTGTCACTGGAAACTGGAGGTCATGTCCAGGGGTGCAAGGGCAGGCCCAAAAGCTTAGGGGAATAATAAGGAAAAAATGGAGGGACATGGAAGCAGGAAGAAAGTATATACACAGAAAAGGGAGGCAGAGAAGTGCTAGTGCCAGAAGAGGCAGAACAGGAGTCTCTGTTGGAACTCAGAGGTCCAAACTGTTTGGAAGTAGTTGGGCAACTTTGCCAGATTCTCAGAGGGCACTTGCAAGATCAAGACTGGGGTGCAGAGGCCAGGGCATGAAAGGGACTGGCAAATAAGTCCCATGGGTGCCAGGGAAAGGGGGCTGAGGAGAAAGGGGCCAATGGCATCTGTTGAACTGAAAAACTCAGGTGGGAGCTGAACAGGTTGTTCTGGGGTCTCCTCCCCAGAGCATTTGGAGTAAGAAGAGCATGTTCCCTTCTGCATCCTCTGCAGTCCTGCTGAAGAATTCATTCAACAAATTATGTGTAAGAAGAGAGAGAAGAGATAAAAAAAAAATAAAAAGAGACCTGCCCTTATAAAGCCTAGGATCTACTGGGAAGATCTGAAACAACTAAACAATTAAAAATTGTCTGAGAAATAAAATAATAGCTACCTGATCTAATTGTACTATGAGAGCAAAGGGGGACATACCACAGTCAGACCCGGTGTGTGTGTGCGTGTGTGCATGCATGTGTGCACTTGTGTGTATTTGTATGGTTCCCAAATAACAGCAAATATTAACTCAGCATTTAGTGTGTTTCAGACAATGTCTGGACAGCTTTTCATGAACCAACCCAGTTAATCCTTACAATGCTCTGAGGTAGGTCCTGTTATGATTATGATTAGAGATGAATGAGGCATAGAGAGCTCTTAACCATTGTGCTAGTCTGCATTTAAACATCACAGCAATTCTACAAATTACATGTTATTTCCATTTTAGAGATGAGGAAGCAGATTCCAAAAGCTTAAGTACTTCAGCCAAAGTCACCCAAGTAGTCAGTGAGTGAATTGGAAAACTTGACCACACTTGCCTAGCTCAATGTCCCAGGTTCAGTCTGCGTCCGTCAACAGAGACCAACTTGTGACCTTTCTGTGCCTTGGTTTTTCCACCCATAAAACAGGAGAAAATCATCTAGCGTCAAGTATAGAAAAGTGTCCCAGCCTGGCAGTCTTTGTAAGATCACCGTTTCGGGGTGGAGGTAGGGTGGTAAGTTTCAAAACTGGCACGGGTCTCCTGGGACACTTGATGAGCAGCAGAATTCTGGAAAACAGCCTCATTCTTGTGCTCAGTAGATCTGATAGGTCCAGAGGACAGAGCCTGAAATAGAACGGGCTGCCCTTAGCCCTCCACGGGCTCAAGGGAGCTGTTTGTCTAGCTCTGAATAACCCATTCTATGAAGAATGTCCTGGGAATTTCCTTACGTGGCAGGACATTTGACTGAATGTTTTCACTGTGCCAGATGCACCCTCCTCCCTCATCTCTACCATCAGCCTTAAGAATGGGTACTATTCAGACTTGAGGAATTGATGTGAAGAAGAAAAGGTGTGAAGGTACTTAAAGGCAGGAAAGATTATCATAAGGAAGCTGGG